CCCCCAGGCTTGTTGGGATTTTCTGCATGGAATATTGCTATAAGGCGATCAGCCTGGATATTTCTATTTTTTACCCAAGATTCCTCTAATAAGGGATAACCCTTCCACTTGATTAAGTATTGGAGTTATCTCCTCTGCCACCTTGAATCAAGTACTCATTGAACTTCATAATGGGTTTGACCCCTTATGACCCCCATCTCCCAGGTACTCCCAGGGTAGTGGTCTCAGAGTGGATCCAATCACGGGTTTAAAGAGGCTACTATGAAATGCCGGGTGTATCTTTCCCAGCAATCGAGGCAATTTCAATTGCACTATGACTGGATTTATGATATTTACTAAGGGGAATGGTCCCATAAACGTTGGCCCCAGTTTCTTTCTAGGCAGTTTTAATCTCAAATATTTTGTGGAGAGATAAACCTTCTCTCCCACCCAGAATGGCCGTTGTGAAGCCCGGTGTTTATCTGCCTGTTTCTTACAAGTTTGTGCGGCTTAACCAGTGCCTTTTTTGACATTTTCCCAGGTTGCTTTCAGCATCGACATCCAATCAGTCAAGCTGACTGAAGAGTGGGGATCCCTTGGATACTCAGGCATTGGGACGAAGTCCATTCTGCTCATTACTTTGAATGGCGTGAGTCCTATGCTACTGTGAACAGCATTATTGTATGCAACCTCAGCAAAAGATAAAAGGTCTGCCCAATTGGACTGCTGATAGTTCACGTAGCCCCGCAGGTACTGCTCTACTATGGCGTTCAGTCTCTCTGCTTCCCCATTGGTGCCAGATGAAAAGTTTAAGACCTTGAGATGATCTAATGAACCACAGGAGCTCCCTCCAGAACTTAGCTGTGAACTGGACCCCTCTGTCTGAAATAATTCTTTGAGGTACTCCATGCAGTGAGTAGATATGCTTCTCTGAGATCTAGTTTGGTGAAAACTTTTCCCTTGGCCAGATGAGATAGCATGTCCTTCGTGAGGGGGAGGAGGTATAGGTTATGTACGCACCTCCCATTTATCCCTCGAAAGTCCACACACAATCTCATAGTTCCATTTTTTTTTTCTTTTAAGGGATTAACGACCGGTGGCTTGGCTAGCTCAATAAACCCCCTTGCCTGGTTTTTGTCTATGTATTTGCCCATCTCTTGCATTTCCTGGTGCATCATGCATGCAGTTTGGGCTTAGATAGTTTTGCCCCCGGTATTATTTTGATAGCGCAGTCTGCCTCACAGTGGGGAGGCAGAACATTGCAGTCGGCCTTGCTGAATACTTCTGCGAGATTGTGATACTCCCTCCAGTTCTGTTCAGCCTCTGGGGTTTTCTTGGATGTGGTTGCAAGTTGTTCTGTTGGGTTCTTTTGGGGAGGGTTTCCTCTATGGGTGGTATTTCTGCTTGCTAGTGTGGGGGTGATTGGGGCCCCTTGATATCATAGGTCTGCAGGTACCCCCTTGCCATCAGATGGTTGGTCCCCACTTGTCTAGCCAGGAAAGTCCCAGTATGACTGTGTCTGTCATTTTGGGGGCTGTTACGAATCGAATTACTTCCCTGTGATCCGCTAGCTGGTTCAGTCAGGTGGTTGCACAGGCTCCTCCCATTAGGGACCCATTGACCTGTTCAAACTGGATTGGGTGGGCCTGTCTTTTTGCTCTGATCCCCAGTTTCAGGACTGTGGTCAGGTTGATCAAGCATCTAGTGCAGTATGAGTCTATTAGGGCTTGAAAATCCCCCTGGTTTCCTGGTTTTGGGGTTGTGAGGCATATTGGAAAAAGGAAAGGGTGAATTGGTTCACCCACCATTGGGTCATTTTCTCCCTTGTCCTCACTGTCATAGGATTCAGGTGACTGGTTGTCGTTGCCCTGGGTTCCACCACTTTCGACTGAGGGTGAAGGGACCTCTGCAGCCTGGAGGGCTTTCCAAGACATGTTGGTGGTCTATTTGGGGCCTTGTTCTCAACATGCCCTTGATGGTGGGTCTGGCCTTGGTTTTAGTTTAGTTTAATTTATTATTTATAGGCCGCCCATTTCCCTGAGGGGACTCAGGGCGGCTTACAATTTATAGGGAAGGGGNTAATTTTAATTATATAACAAAAAATTAAAAACTTTGTTTTAAAAAATGAAATTTCATTGCATACAGCTCTCAAAGCTCTCACTATGAAGTTTCCAAAAGATGACCTAATTAATTTATGAGCCCCGAAACAAAGTTCAAAAGAAATCCATTCATTTATTAGGATCAACATTTTGGCATGTTCTTCTGCGGAGCCAAAACTAATTTCCCCTTAATGGCATTTTAACTTTACCCCTGTATCCCCTCCCTTCTGTCTGTGTCATAAATCATATCTATCAACAAGGTGCTGCGGCATGCTATGAACTTGCACATTTCACACACCTGGTGTAGAAATATTAGACCTGACTCTGGCCAATAGTATGCATGCCATTCTCCTTCCTTTTCTCTCTTTTCTATGTCAACTTGATAATAGTCATGGAAACGCTTTACAGGTTGACATCTGGCTCCCCTCACTTCCCGAAAGCAACCTGTCTGGAACAAAAACAATTTGAGTACAGGTATATAATTTAGGGAGGCGTTCCTACCCCAGGCTTGTTGGGATTTTCTGCATTGAATTTTGCTATAAGGCGATTAGCCTGGATATTTCTACTTTTTACCCAAGATGCCTCTTATAAGAGATAACCCTTCCACTTGATTGTATTGGAGTTGACTCCTGTGCCACCTTGAATCAAGGACTCATTGAACTTCATAATGGGTTTGATACCCTATGACCTCATGGACCAGGGACTCCCAGGGTAGTGGTCCCAGAGTGGATCCGATCACGGGTTTAAAGAGGCTACTATGAAACACCGGGTGTATCTTCCCCAGCAATAGAGGCAATTTCAATTGCACTGTGACTGGTTTACTATGGTGAATGGTCTCATAAACTTTGGTCCCAGTTTCTTGCTAGGCAGTTTTAACTTCAAATATTATGTGGAGAGGTAAACCTTCTCTCCCACACGGAATGGCTGTTGCGAAGCCCGATGTTTATCTATAAGACCGTTTATCTTATAGGTTTGTGCGGCTTTAGCCAGTCCTTTTTTGACATTTTCCCAGGTTGCTTTCAGCATCGACATCCAATCAGTCAAGCTGACTGANATTATTGAAACATTTACACCAGTTTGGACCGGTTCGGCTGAACGGGTAGTAGTTTGGCAGCCTGAGTCACTGGAACGGCAGCGACCCAGGCTTACAATGCCCCCAAATCAGTTCTCCAGGCGGCGCATATATGTGCTGTCATCTTGTTTTTTGCTTCTGAGCATGCACGGAACAAATTCTATTGCACTGTGCATGCGTGTGCAGTACGCATCAAGTGTGCAGTGCACATCAAGTCCACGAAGCACACATGCAGTGCACCCACAACAGTAGTGCCTGCCGGAACCCACCCCTGATTTATACCTTTGGAATTCTGAATCAGAAAACATGATAGTATTGGAAGATTTCTAGCATGCTCTTTAGGAAAAGCAACAACTTGTCTAGCACAGGGAAATAATATAGGCTAGAATTCTATGATTCACTCAGATATTTCCAGACCATAAGCCTACCTCATGCATTCCACACTGAAACCATAACCCACTGTTTCCAAACCTTAGCCACTTTAAAGATATGTGGACTTCCACTGCTAGAATGCTGGCTAGGGAATTCTGGGAGTTGAAATCTACATATTTTAAAATTGCCAAAGCTGGGAAATACTGCCATAGTCAGAATTAACTAAGCTATTATTTCATTACATCCAAAGACTGGGAAAAGAAGCATATTTACTTATTCATCCAAGATGGCTAGTGACAGACAGACAGATGGATGAATGAATGCACAAAACTAACCAAGGAACTATTTTGGTATGAGTGTACGTGTGTTGTGTGAACTCAACCAAATTGATTAGATTTAATGTCTGCATGGGGTGCAAACTTATAGTTTCTACAAGATGTGGTAGGGTGATGATGACATTTGTTGTGCCATGGGTTAAACCAACAGAAGGCTGCACCTTCTGTCCCATAGCTCAGCTTTGGTATATTCAGGATTGGGAGTCACCTACCTTGGGCCATATCTACTTTGTCTTTTAATCATTTTGGATGCCATCCACCAGTTCCTGGTCTACATCTGCATATCATGTGCAAAGCCTATTGTGAGTAATTGTCTGGTCCTCTCACAGGTATGGTGACCAGATATGGCAGAGTAAACCTGAGTGCCAAAATATCACCCAGAATGTCTGCAATCTCACTCATGAGACTGAAAATTTCACCGAACGTTATCTTGCCGAAGTGAGAGCTCTGGTCCCCAACTGTTGCATCTCCGACTGGTTCATGTCCTTGAAATTATGTCCTCGTGAAAACAGTAAGTGCTTTTCATGAATTTGTTCTGGCAGACAGTGAGGAGGTTGGGGAGGTACATGGGCCAGTCCTGTAGTCTGGGGAAGGCTCTGATGAGGGCTCTGTGTCGGAGGCAGAGAGGGGGCCAGGGCC